GTGGCAAAGTAAACCAAATTCAATACATTTTTTTCAAAAAGTTACTCAAGATTAACTATACAAATAGAGTAGTGGTAGTTGAGATTATGCAAAAACAGAAACTAAGCATAAATCATTGATATTAATTATATCTTTTCTAGCAACTCTGCAAATTATTTTCTTATGCCTTTCTTAAATGATATTAGAAATGTGTCTGTGCCCCTAGTAAGGTGATAACCTTGGGAGAGGGTGGGCAGCAGGCTGAGATTGCTACATGTCCTCTAGTATCCATTCTGCCTTTCTTCACTAAAGAGAGAAACTCCATTCTCCATTTTCTTTCTTTCTTTTTTCTTTTTTTTTTTTTTTTTTTTTTTCTGGGCATATGGTCTACTGCCTGGAAAAATGTTTCCCAACCTAAGAGAAAAAGGACTGACCAGTGGACAGTAGCAAAAGGGATGGGTCAGCTGTCAGAATGTGTTCTTAAAGATAAGGACCACCTGTCCGTCCTGACCCCTTCTTTCTTCCTGCTGCTTGGAAAGTGGACATTGGAAAGTAGACCATGAAATGACCTCAGAAATGCTAACCCTATGAGCAGAGAGACAAAATTAGAGTAGTCTGACGCTGTCCTGTTAGCCTGTATCAACTACTTTTGAACTGTCATGTGGGACAGCAAGAAATTTCTGATCTTAATTAAGTCACCATACTTTGGGTTTTCTTTCACTCCCATATGAACTAACCCTACTGGTACTAATAGTTAGGTAAATCCAGTCTTGGATTTAAAAACAATTGTGGTCTGGATAATTCAAAGTGCATATGCGCACATGGATAACAACTGTGGACCATATTGTATTAGGGTTTTAATACAATAAACTAAGTTTTGGAGTTCCTTTCATTCAGGTAAGATAAAGATCTAAGTCCTGGTCCTTGCTCATGTAACTGAGGTACTTGATTCAAGAGCCCATGAATTTTCCCTTTCTTTCCTGACTGAAGAAACAGCTATGGCTACAGATATTGTGGCATCAGGCCTAGGTGAAGAAGCTTCTGTATTTGCTGAGCATCACTGGAATGTGGTATATAGTATCCCTGACAATAAGAACTATGCACATGAATCTTTTATCCCTTCTGATTCTACTGCACACTGAGCACATGACTCCTGTGATTAGAGCCTTTATGGTTGAATGATAAAACATTACAAGAACAAGGTCTATGTTACAGAGGTAAAATGGCCATTGTACATTCTGATTCAAAACTTTTCTATTTGGTTCAACAGTTTTTTCTCACTCTTTAGCCTTCAGGCTGGTCATTTCTTTAAAGGAGGATTATATGACAAAATAACTCATCCCTCCTAATACTGCTTTTGATGATGTCCATTATCTGAACTAGGATTGAAATTCTTGTCTTTTCTCCCTTGCCCTATAATTTGCTCAAACTAGTGATCTGAGGTACTGAAATATTGGCATCTAGGAATTCCTCATTATTAGAGGTAAAGTTGTTCTTGAGTCCTTGCAAAAGATGACCTAAAAGGATATTCATTTAATTAATTACTCCACTGAGATGAATTAGTTTGCCAGATTAGTTTGTTGAAATATTGGAGTTGACAAGGAATAAGGAAATGAAACACCTTGGGAACATGGAAGCAAAATAGTGTATGGTCTGGTAAATCATAGTACTCATAGAGCATCTATTGTCCCCTTAATATGTTAACTGCTGGCTAATGCTAGTTCGTGGAGGAGTAGAAGAAAAAAGACAACAGAAAGATCCTATAGAGTCCTGCCCTTCTCCTGGCAGCTAAAGATAGCTATATTCTCATGGCCTAACCATGTCCTCGGTCATGCTCTCCTCTGGTGGTAGGAGCTAACAAAAGGTTATTTGGGAAGAGGCTAGAAATATATTCAATCAATGAAAGAGAGTAAACAGATTTAATTTGACCATGGGGTACTATGACATTTGCCCATTGAGCTATTGAACAGACTGTTCTCTGTAAAGCTTTGCATTTATGAAAACAGATATATCATTCAGTTCAGGACAGTCTTGTCTTCTTGTACATCATTCAGTTCTGCTTGGCTTCTTCCTCAAACTCTTCAAAAGACATTTTATACTCTATAGAAATTTCCAAATCCTAATCCCCCGTCCCCATTTAAGAATTATTTTTGATGCTATCACTGGCTGATGTTTTTAATATGAGACAATGGTATCTGAGTCCATAGAGTTCATTTAATCTTATTAGATTATTGATATAATATAGAGGGTAAGTCTATTACAATTAAATAACAGCAAAGAATAATTAGAACATAGTGGTTGTGATCATCATGTTATTACTTCCATTAGGCTAAGCTAGTCATTTGCTTGTTTATTGACATGGAAGTCTGACAGTTGTTAGGGAAATTTTAAAGAACAAAATTGAGTTGTATTATTTTACTTAATCCATGAACCTAGAATTTCAACACAGAATATACACTCAGTAACATGTCTTGTAATTAACTCATAACATTTTGATTAAACCAACATGATTATCCTTAACTACCGAAATGCAAGCATTCATATTCACAAATTCCCTGATTGTTCTTTGTCAAAGACATTAGCTGACATTGGGTTGGAAGAACACATTTAGATACGCTCAGTTGCTGTGATTGAAATTGGTCTATGATTATAAAATACTGGGAGGATACTTAGTTTAGATAAAATGAAGAATATTGGGATTATCAGGGTGCTAAACTATATATTCTTAGTCATTCTGTGGAATGAAAATATGTGATCACCACTTGAATTGTGGATTCTTATTTATTCTTGAAATGGATGCCTTTTTTAAAAGGTCTGTGACATAAGACTGGCTACCCAAGAAACATTCTCAACTGTATTCTTTCTGCTACCTCATGTGATAGAGGCTGGCAAGCAATATACTTTCCCAGCATCCTCTGAAGTTAGAACTGCTTTATGAGCTGGTTCTTACTGAAGACATGTAAGGTAAAGTCAACAGTAGAAATTCTAGAGAAACTTTTACTATTTCATTTACTCTGTACCTTGAAAGCAGATGGAATGCCTGGAGTGGTGGGAATCAATTTACAACCAGGAGACCAGCATGAGTCAAAAAGCCAGGGATTTAGACACATTATTGAGTTGCTACCCACTTTTCGAGTTTACCTTCCTCTAGATTTTTAATTATAAAAGAGGATGACTCCATTACTGCATTAATGGCAGGTTAGCTTTGGTTATTGTTATTACTTGTAGTCAATAGCAAATTGTAAGTTAGTTCACCACCACTTTGAGCAGTTGATGCTAATATTATATGAAGATCTAGTCAGTTCTCTGTCAAAAACATGCTCCACATTTACTTCCACGAGAATATTTAAAGCAGCACTTCCCAAAAGAAACTGATGTGTTGATGGAAATGTTCACATAGACCAGATAGAATGTATGGCCATTGAAAACTTGAGATGTCACTAATGATATTGAAGAACTGAAGGTTTAATTTCATATCATTATAGCTAATTTAAATTGAACCTGAAATAGCCATATGTGGCTACTGGCTATAAGTCAAACAGTGCAGATCTAAGGAATTGCTAGTCACTTTAAAAAATACTTAAATTACAGCAGTTCACATGAAAAAAAATTCAGCCTCTCACTTTTATATATGTTACTTTATAGGTCCAAGAACACCTCATTATGGAAAAATCATGACTCAGTAGTACTTTGCATAGCGTCATGTTTGAAGGTTGTGAAACAATATTTAACTTGCATGTTAACTAACTTCACAGACCTGATACCACTTTAAGCATTTTACATTGACAACTACAATAAAGGATGTCTTTTTGGATAATAATAATCTTATTCAGACTATGCTCATTCAGCTGTTTGCTAAGACTTCTGTATTACCAATTACAAATAAAAAGAATAATAATAGTGTCCCAGGCACATTAAGCTGTGGGTGTACAATAACTCTCTGAGATAACCTGTAAATTACAGTTTGCAGAAGACTGCCACATGTGCGAGGAAATCAGCACAAAGGCACCAATATGGTGCTAAGAGTGGCAAGAGGCTGCAAGATGGCAGCTCCAGAGATGCCAGTGAATGGCCAGAAGCAGTGAATACTGATAGTACAGAAATCAGAAATGTGTGGAGCTGACATATCCTGGAATGCAGTATTCGAAAATACCTGCTACTCCCAAATATGATTTGAAGAAATGATTCCATCATGCCTTGGTGTTCTGTGTAAAACAAATAATCAATATGTTTACCCTCACGGCTATTTTTAGAGCCCGAGCAACAGCTAATTCTCTAAGTGTCTAAGGTGGCCCAACCCTGTTAAAATGATCATTTCTTTTTCTCCTGACCAGGATCACTTTCTTAGATAGCTACTCCATCACTAGTTACCTCTTGGCTGCTGGAATTAGATCTGTAAAGTGCCTTTGTGTTGGGAACCTGAGATCCTTCAGTCTAGGGTTATGCATAACTTTAAGAAGTAGCCTACAAGCCTAATTTATTTCAGAGACAGGACTATCTATAAATAGGGATCTAACAGAAATGCTGAAGAAAATACGTTGAAGATTTTGGCAAGCAATATATACTTAATCAATTTGGTTCCATGTGCAATGCATTCATTTTTAAAGATAATCAGTTTAAGAAGGACACCTAACCTATTTTTAACCAATACTAGTTGCAAATATTGCTTCTTGGCATATTTATAGAAACTAGATTGATTCAATGTTGATTTTATCCAGAGAGAAAATATTTACATTCAGAGTTACACTTTCATTTCATATTGACAAGTACTCACTCCTCATCAGTTTGTATCACATCCCTTTGCGAAGAACACCTATGTTTTCTTCATAGGTGCTACTATGACCCATTTCTTTTATGATTACTTTCAATGTCTACAATGAGAAATTAGATAACTATGTGTGAACATTTAAGAACTAGTCCTTATAGAGGGAAACATAAGAGTTGGTCTTTCAAGCACCAAGCCTGAAAGGTTGAATATAGAAAATCTCTCAGTTAAAGAGGTATCAAGAATGAACTTTTACCTATCATGTGGCTCTGAAATGAGGAATCTGCAATTGTGTCTTCATCCTCTTGCAGGTTTTCATGTGTGTCTTTTATCTGTAGCAACAAGAAAGTAATGTCAGCTCTTATTTATTATACTAAGTAGATCATTCATAATCCTCAGAATGATACATTCCATAATTAACATGTGGGTATGCGGATATGTGTATTCTTACACATTTTTTTCATTCCATTTTTCCTTACTCTATCATTTGACTTTGTTACAAGTTTCAATTACAAAAGCATATTAAGAAAAAAATTAACCCCAGCTCTAAAAGCAGGGATTTACAGGGTAATAATAAAGTCAGTAACACAGATGTGTTAGGAAAAATTTAAGTCTACGGAAATACCATTCCTCCAGAGTCAGTGATTTCCATCACAAGCCATTTAAATAAGGATAAAGAAATACATTTGAGGGCCTCCCCGGTGGCGCAGCGGTTGAGCGCTGGGTTGCGAAGCTGCCCGCAGCCTCTGCAGCGCCGGTTCGATCCCCGGCTGCTCCCCAGTCACCAGAGGAGGGTCCCACATGGCGCGCAGACCTCTCCTGCCGCCCGCTGCTCCCCTCAGCAGTGTACTTCAGTCCTTCTGCCTGCTCTGTTCCCCGCTCTGGCTCTGGTGAATTCTCTCACCCTCCCACGATTCTGACTGTACCCAGTGCTTGTATAAATAAATAAAAATAAATCTTAAAAAAAAAATACATTTGATTGTGATTCTTTCCTAGAATATAACTCTCTAAGAAAATGTCTCTTTTTTTGTTCTTTCCTCAAATGAAACATGAGGTGACTTGTGTGTGCTCAGTGAACTAGAGCAGTAACACATTTATCTAGATTTTTCAGGTCAAAAATAGTCCCTTTATATTTCAGCTGGAATACCCAGATGCTGAATAAGGACAAATAGAACCCTTGAGAAAAGCTAATAAAGTCACAGTATTTTACAAGTGAGAATTCTGAGAGCCAGTAAGTTTCCTTCAACATGAGTAGCAACACTGAAATTAAAACCCATGTCCACTACCTTCCAGGCTAGCAGCAGCAGCAACAGCAATATCATCAATAATACCAACACATACACTTAATGCTATGGAGCAGGTGCTGTTCAAACTCTTCCTGCCTGTGGTCCTATAATCCTCACAACAAAGTTAGGAGATAGGTGCTAATGTGAGCTCCATTTCTTAAATTTATTATTTAACTTATTTTTTTGATTTGTTTATTTAAAGTTTAATGAAAAATATTTTTTCAATGAAGTATAGAAATCATTCAGTGAAGAGCACATATTCATATAAAATATTTCTAGTCCCCAGAAAGCTGCCTTTTGCCCATTTTCTTATAACACTCCCAAGGTTAATTGCTACTCTCACTGCTGTCATCATAAATATAGTTTGCTTGTTTTCAAATTTCATGTAAATGGAGTCATATACTGCATACTTTTCTGGATTTCTTTCATTCAACCTCAAGTGTGAAAGATTGATTTATGTTGTGAAGTATGGTAGTAATATGTTCTTTTTATTGCTGTGTAATATTCTGTAAATGAATATTCCATAATATACTTATTTATTCTCTTGTTGATGGGGTGATGCTAAGTAAAATAAGTCAGAAGGAAAAAGATAAATATTGGATGGTTTCACTTATATGTGGAATACAGAAAAAACAATCAAAGGGGCACACAGGGCAAGACCTGAAAGCTGACCATAGGTCTGAGGCATCCATGAGGGAAGGGGATGCAGAAAGACATATGGTGCATAATGACACTGAGTTAGAGTTAGCTCCTACTTTTTAACCTCCTATTTTTCATATTTAATGGAATTTATTTATATTTATATTTTATTTTATTTATTTATATTATTTATTTATATTTATATTTATATATTTATTATATTATCATATTATTTATTTATATTATTTATATTTATATTTTATTTATATTTATATTTTATGATTACAGCTACAATATTAGAATGTAAGTGGAGCTTAATCTGTACATGCAGGTTGCCAGAAGATGGCAAATTCAGGAGAGTATGTAGATGGAGACATGAACCCACAAGGAGAGAGGACTTAAGGAATCAATCTCTAGAGGCCATGCTCCATTACTTTTTTCCACATAAGCTGTCTGCTCCTTGGGGCATGTCCCTATTGTTAGCAAGAAAATTAAGAAAGTGGAAAGAAATGCTCTTATCAACAAGTTCTGTTTCTAGTATTGCACATTTACAGATGGCAGAGAAAATGCTGAGAGCATCAATAAGGTTAATGTGTTACTACCTTCCAAAGTTTACCTAGCACAGTGATCTGTGCGTGATAAACTACCAGAAGAGCCACTATGGAAAGGGTCCCTTAAGCACCTGAATTTCTGTTAACAAACCAAGAGAAACTTTCTACCCTTATTTATAGAAAAACCAGGAAAATTTTTATATTTTTAACCCACATCACCTCTTTTGGCAACATGTTCCATGTTTTTCTTCACCTGTTCATACAATAGTATTGTCTTTAGGATTTCCTAAATTGACCCATTTTAAACTTGATGGGTGCCCTGTTAACCAGTTGGAACATGGGTGAATCATCACTTCCATTAGTTCTATGAAATTCTAAACTAAATCGAATCATCAGAACAAGATTCTCATCTTACAGATAAAAAAGGACTCAGAGAGGGCTAATGATCTGCTCAAGGTCACACAGGAATTGTTTTTTATATTACATTACTTTTGTTGAAGTAACATTACATTATAACATTATTAAGTTTCCGGGTTTTAGTTAGAGTGGGTCCAACTGACTCCTATTCACTGATGGAATGCAAATTTTCAGACTGTGCCAAACTGTTTTGCAGACAAACCTTGCCAAGAACTTCTGTAATTTTCTGTCTGGCAGTTAGATATGTAGGTAGTGTCCTCAATATACATAAACTATGCTTGTATTTAAGAGGAGCAAACATTTTGTGTGTGTGTGTGTGTGTGTGTGTGTGTGTGTGTGTGTAACTGCCTTCCTTCCCTTTTTAACCACTACTTTTCTCCAAGTATTGTGGGTAATAAAGGACATGAAAGCCATAGTGCAGTGTTTCCTATCAGCTCCCTGTCAGAACCATTCTAGGGCTTCATGTACTTAATCGTAAATGCCAAAATGGCCCTTGGTTATTGGAGTTATCGGAGGAACTGGGTTTGTAGACGAGGCCCCTAGTTTTTTTCAGGTCTCCTGGGCTAATAACCCTTGAAGCAGGATGGGAAGAGCTGCAAAAACAAGAAGTTTGGCAGAATTTGACTCAGGACAGACTCATGGTTAGAAAGCTAGAATTTTCTCAACCATTACTCTACCAAGGATAGACACAAACCAATGTCAGCAATGTCCCATTTGCTAAGAAGTAGACAACAACAATGGGTTGTTTTTGGTTGAAGTCTGTTGTCAATATGTTGAGCATCATAATGGTCCAGTTCTCTCCCATATTAATTGAGGTCACATTGGGTTACAACACAGTACACCTCTAATTCTTGTTCATCTTTTGGGCTCTGCAGTTGTAGCCAAGTGCCAGGTAGTATTGACCAGCTACAACAGGTAACCTTTACATGTCACTCTACCCATTTATTCTGTCTATTAGCTCCTAACATTAGGAAAGAGTTAACAACAAACAAGGGAGGAAAAAGAGAAAATAATTCACCAATGACCAACATACATACATCGATTTTAGGATTAAACTTAATATTTGAGGACACTCTTCATTTGGAGTTACATACATAATTCTTCCCTGAATCATCCTAGCATTTTTTTTTTTTTTTGGTCAAAGTTCACTAAAAAGGGAAAGGACCTAACAAACTGAAGTGAGACAAGGATGTGATCCTTGGAGGGAGGAAGATCACTCCTGGAAGGCATTACCTTTAGAAAAGAGTTAGTCACTTGGAAAACTTTGCAAGAGGAAGGCAACATACACATATTTCTTATTAACATCAAAATGGCATTCAGAGCAGAATTGTTCAATTAAGGATATTGAAATGACAACATTTTGCAGAATTTAATAAGATGATAACAATGTATGTAATTATAGCACTATTTTATCATCACAGTACCATTTTAATGGGATGGCATTTGATGCTTTTATATTAGCATATGTGATTTTTTTTCAGACTATGTGACACTGGGTGAAGAGATCGCTCATAATTTAAGTTAAAACACCTATACTAAAATGGCCATCTCTTTCTACTGCCTGATGAAGGTATATGACATCATTAATTTTGTTAATGATTTTTATTTTGTCCAGTGATAGTTAAATAGGAGACTGGAGCTGTCTTCTTTTGAGACTTCTCAGTTCAGAAGATTATCTAAATCCACAGGAAGGAAGGACTAGCAAAGTGTAGCAAGCAGAATGCATTTCTTTCTGACTTATTTACTTAGTAAGAATGCAATCTTTCCTAGAGATGCCTCTATCTCACTGTGATTTTATATAATTTAAATAAGGTACAAAGTAACATGGCCCTTGTCTAAATTACACAAAAATTAGAGCTAAGTGGTCTATAAATTATGACATAAATGGGGACATAAGCCTCTAACTAAGGTTCTGAAAAGAGAAAAGGATTTAATTTAGCAAAGCATTAATGGGACCTCTATACGTATTTTAGAATGTATCTAACAATCCTGAATATGGATATGCAGTTACTTGTGAACTAAGTGAAAATCTGCTACATACATGGATTTGTTATACACATGGAAACAATCTTTCTATTTTTTTTATCAATAGAGAGTAATCTAATTAAAATGCTTTTGGACCTTCATAACTAAATAAAATCTTTATAAAGGACAAGGGACATTATATCTATTATTTTTAAATAGTGGATTTTTTCAGGAAAAAGTATGATGTGTAATACATGATGCACAGCTTTTGTTTTAATCCAAAATAGCTATTATAAGAATTTTTTTAACCGTTAAAAATAAGCAGATAGCAAATTTATGTTAAGCCTTAGTCAGGAAAAATTTCCTTAAACTCTGAATTTTAAAAGGCTCTTGGGTACACACAACAGTGTGCTATGGTATTAGAATGTATCTTGTTTTTTGCATCTAATCTTCTTCTTATAAAGGCTGGTAATATAATAAATAGGCTTTTCCTACTCTTCTTGTACTAGTCCCAAAGGAGACTGATAATGTCCTTTCTGAAATTAGTAATTTTAGCCCAATCTGCACCGAAGATTATGGAGATGAAACAGAAAACATTGAATTTTACATTTTTTTTTTTTTTTAAAAAGACTAGCTGGTCAACTATCCAGGTTAATATTATTCCTCTGTGTGGAAAAGTTTCCCAGCATAACTAATTTCCTTTTGCAGCTAATAGAAAAATTAGCATATTCCTATTGATTATGTATATTTGCAGTGGTTAGGGAATTTTATACTTCACAGAAAAAATAAGATTGTTTCTTGCAGATATTCTGGAAGGACCAAAGGACACTTATTACTACGTGGTAGACTGTAAATGAGAGAGGAAAAGCAGGACAAATTACTTTAGCATTAGAAAGTAATAAGAAAGTAAAAATGAAATTGTGCCAGCCAAACAGAGGGTCTTTTGTTTTTTTGGTACTTCTGTACAGTGAAGATACACCCTAAGCTGTCAGAACCATATTAAATAGGGTATAGTTAAATTGAGTGCCTCTGATAAAGGGCTCTGCTAGGCTATCAAAGTTTTAGATCAGTAGGATTGAATTTCCGGCATATTGCACATTTCCACACTTTCATTCTCTTTCCTTTCAGTGACACTACAAGGGCAGCCCTAGATATGCTTATAATTTGTGGTTTTACAATGCAGCAGGCATCTACATTTTCAAAGAAGGAATGCTACCATGGAAGCTAAGAGCAAAAACTGGGGAGAAAAAGAAAAAAACTTCTGCAAAGAACATAATCTGTGTATTATTTCCAAGAGTTCGAAAAAGACCTTATAGCTCTTCAGAGAGAAAACCTGTGTGATAAAAAAAATGAATGTGCTTTTGTTTCAAACAAAAGTAAGTCTGTAAAATTCCAAGGAACCCAAAACCCAAAAGGTAATTAAACTAATAATTAATAACTAATAGTACCAATCAGGATTATTTCTTAAATTTCCTTTACTCTTGAACTACTGCAGGAAAAAAAAAAGTACAATTAATTGATATGCTAAGTTTTTCCTAAGAAAATGGTAGCATGTACTATATCTTAAAATCTCTTTTATTAAAGTATAAAAAAATATATATATAGATGCATTCATTTTTTGTAAAGAGATTTTTTTTACTTAAATGATTAAAAATTTATAAAAAGGAACAATGGACACTATCAAATCAAATATGTAAGAACAGAAAAAGGACTATAAGGAGAGCAATTGCAATTACAAGTAATTTTAAAACAAAAATATTTTTAAACTAGCATACCCTGGGGAATTTTTTTTTAAGTCCCTTTGTTAAGGGAAATCGACTCTCTGAGGTCTGGAGCTCATGATTAAAAGGTGACATGATAGAGAATCAAATTCCAAAATGCCTCTTCTAGCTTTAATACCTTGTCTTAGTAGGAGGATTCAGTACATGTAACTTTCCAAAAACATGGTTAAATCAAATTTTAAAATAATTTTTTTTAAAGATTTATTTTATTTATACAAGAGCCAGTGTACATGCCAGATGCGTGGGAGGGTGAGAGGATTCACCAGAGACAGAGTGGGGAGCAGAACAAGCAGACTGACGAAATTCACTGCTGAGGGGAGCAGCGGGTGAGACAGGAGAGGTCTACTTGACATGTGGGTTGCTCTGAGGCTGGCGGGGATCGAACCGGCACTGCAGAAGCTGTTGACAGCTTCACAGCGCTGTACTCAACCACCTGCGCCACCAGGGAGGCCCCTTAAAATAATTTTCATTTATTTAATTAAATAGCCAATTCTCTTATACTGTTTAGCACTTTTGAATTTTTAATCACCATGTCACTCCTTTTCATGTGGCTGGAAATCATTTTCAAAACAGATTTCTGAGACAAAGGTGTGATTTGAAGAAGACTACAGCCAGCTTCTGAAAGGAGAGCTCACAGGTGGCAATCTAGGGGGAATCACGCCATTTGCAACCTGTCTGCCATCTCTTGGACAGTTGTCACCAGGATTTCTCTCTTTTTTTTTGTCTTTAACTTTCTCCTTCTTCCTGTATTCTCTATTTTCACCAGCATAGGGTAGAAAGAACCCAACCAGCCCATCTCAGAATCGTACACTTTATAACCAGACAGAGGGGCACTTACCAGGGAGGCTTTCGGGATTTCCATATCAGCTTTGGTTTTGATGCTTTTCTTGTGGTTTCCTTGAGTGCTGACAGAGCTGCTGGTGAGACAGGAGCCCTGGGAGCTGCCCTTTAACATGCTCCTGCAGGAAACATTATTTGATCCACTTTCTGTCTGTTGAGCTGCTTTCTTATCAACTCTGCAGGTAGAAAGTGATTCCTCTGATAAATTACATTGCTCTTCTTCAATCACTCTACTTTTCCCAGTCTTTTAATGTTTAAAGTAACCTCCATGTATCTCTTTGTCCTGCAACCTTTGAGTGGTAAGTGTTTCTCATGGGCCTCGATCAAATCTTCATCTGATATTCCAGCTGTGTGTCAATTTAGATTTGATAATATACTAATTAATTTTTATTTTTATGACAATTTGTAAGATTGGGGGTGGGGACAAAAATGATAACCTCTGAAGAGTGATTGCTAAGTACATTCTGGGTTAAGAGCAGCAGGAAGTGCAATTACCTCTTCAAAGTTTCTAAGTATACATTTGCTTGGTACAATCAATGAGATCGGCGTACTTTAAAATGTATGTATAATTTTCTTTCATTTCATGCCATGTGGGTACATTCATAGTTCTTAGTGTGGGATGAATTTCTATCAACCTTGATAAAACTTACTGTTCTTTAATTTCAAAGACCATTGGTTTGGTTAACAATGTAACATGGACTAAATTATCATTTTATTGCTAACTTTTATTTCATTGTTTAAGTTCTGGCTAGTGCATAAAAGACTGCTACCCTGTTGCTCTGTTTGTCTGAAAGGCATGTTTGACTGATATTTAATGTGTAGGAAGCAAACAACTCTCCCCTTTTGGTGGGGCAGCCCTCAATATTACCACCCTCCTTGTCAAAATTAGTTACCTGTTCAAAAGTTCGGTCATAAAGGTATCTTTTGTTGAACGTGTAACAGGACTGAGTCTATTTCTTGGTTCAAACTTCATCTGGTTGTAAATGTCTTGTGGTGCTCTCATATCACTTCTGCTCTGTAAGCCACTGTCTGGACCGTCTGCCAACTCCATGTCCCCGTGAAGCTCGCTGTCTGTCTCACACAGGAGCTCCGGCTTCTTTTTCTCTTTTTTCCTCTCTGATTTTAGTTGTTTGTTTCCAAACCCCAAGCCTTTTGTATCTTTTTTGTCCACTTTGGTTTTGGAGACATCCATTTTCCTGCTACTGAGAGCTGGAAGTCTACTCCTTCGAAAACCAAACCAGCTGGCAAAAGAAGGCCCCGGCTTTGGCTTTGCTTCCATAGAGCTGGACTTTGTTTGCACTTGGCCCTTCTCCACATTTTCCTGAATGCACAACATGACCTTTTCTTCAATTGTGGGTGAGAGGGGGGCTTCTGGGCTCACAGCACCAGCCCTAGTTGGAGAAATCTCTGGACACCTTCCAGAAGTTTCTGCCTTGGAGGTCCTGCTTGTTTCAAAATTGCTTGGACACTGTGTCCTCCCTGGGCTTTGCAGGGCTCGTGGGCAGTCTGTTGGAGTGAGTGGGCATCTACAGTGGTCGCTGCCTGGTTCCTCAGGGACTGCCACATTGGGGCATCCACCCTGGGTGATGGCCTGGTGTTCTTCCGTCCCAGGGGGGCCGAGGAGCTCTTCAGACTTTGGAGGAATCCTCAAAGGCAGCTTTCTTGGGCTCCCATGTTGGCTGCTGGAACTGCCTGTGCTCCCCAGAGAGCCTTGCCTGGAGGAAGAATGCCCCAAAGCCCTGCCAGCACTGGGGAGACTGTCAGGCATGGGGGCAGATGGTGTCTTATTGGGAGAGCCTTCTGTGGAGGAGCTCTGCCGGGTGAGAGAGTTGCCTCTCTCAGCAGTGTTGGTAATGATTTGAGTTCGAACTTTGCCTGGCCCTTCCGTGGCAGGTGTGCAGGGCTTATCTCCTGAGTGGGCACTGAAGCTCTGGCTACGGGCTTTGGCCCCATTCATGCCTAGAGCTGGTTTCAGGTGTGGCTTGTTACAGGAAAGGGATTTTTTCACAGACCTGTTTTCCACCCCATCTTTTCCATCAGCCCCAGGGGTACTACTTTCCAATGGCTCTGGTATTACTGTGTTCAGGGGAATCCCTTCAGCCAAATTGTCCGGTGCTTGCAAACCCAGTGGAATACTATTTCGCTCAGCACCTTTGGTCTCAAGGCGAGGTAGGTCCCCAGAGTCCACTGCCTTCAACTTGGTCGCAGCCACAGAACTCTTAGAGGCCTCATTTAAACTGTCTTTTTCCTGTTTCCCTGGTACCGTGGAACTTTTCCTGAGCAATTGGGGAGACTTCATGAGAACTTTGAGTCCAACTGGGAGGCGAGTTTTCAGTCCATTCTCATGAGTGCTCTGACAACCAGGTGGGGTGTCATGGCTTCTGGGAGATGGTGCTGACGAGGGGCTATTAACCTGAGATGATGGTGGCTCACTTATCCTTTGGAAGGAAGACTTGGGTGATGTGGAGACACTATCACTCAGCTGTCCTTTCCTTCCCGGAGGTACACTTTTAGAGGATGCTACTTCCAGTGGCTCATGGGTTGAAGGATAATTCTTAGGAGTTCGTAACCCTGTGTCTGTCTGCATGGTCCCAAGTGTTTGGTGAGATGGGGTTTTGGGGGCACTTCTCTTTGGAGAGACCTTTGGGGGTGCTGGGGTCACCATAGCAAATGAACTGGAGGGGGAATGAGCAGAACATTTGATTTGGTTCACTGTTTCTGTGGAGGGCAGAGAGTGAGGGAAGGCAGATTTTTTGAAGGCCATGGAAGGTTTCTTCCCCTGTACTTCTGCCATAGTCTGATTAGAAGAAATAACAGGAACAGAAGATCCTTTTGGAGGGGAAGACTTGAATACTGTCCTTGCTGTTTCACTGGAGACCCTGGTCTCGGGCTTGGTAGAAAAAGGTGGTGACACACAGTCGTAACTGGACCTGATGAGCAGGGAGACTGACCTGCCTGGAGGGGGAGGGGGAGAGGGTGATTTCACCCGGGGCTCTGGCCCAGAGTCAGAACATTTACCCCTTGCAGGGGCTTCTCCATCATCACTAGGCTCAGGGACGGACCTTGACAGCAGCTGTGATGTTGGAATCTGACTCTTGGGGCACTGAACCCAGTCTCTTCTGCTAGCCATTTTGGAGCCGGTAGGAAGTTGGGTGAGGTGTTTCGGAATGTGTGAATCTGGCTGCAAATCAAAGAGGGAGGCTGGGCCCTCTGTCTTCTTGAACCGTGAGAGTTTCTCAGGAGCTAAGGCTGTTGATTTTTCAAGAGACACTGGGTCACATAAAGGAATTCTCATGGTGGCTTCAGGTTCTATTATTTTTGATTTCTGAGGGGAAGACTTGCCCCTGGCAGGTATTTTTGTCAGACTGTGCTTCTGATAGCTACCAACAGGTCCTGAAGACCTAACATGACTCTTGCAAGACAAATTGCGTGTTGGTTTGGCCAGTTTTTGTCGCTGAGTATTTTGTGCCATTTTTCTAGGGCTGAAAGCTTCAACGGGTGCCTCAGCAACATTATCTAAGTCACCTTTTGGAATGTTTTTCTCAGTTTCCTCTTCAGACCTCTTTAAGAAAGTGTAGTCTCTGGCAGTAGCTTCTAACTGCAAGTGAGCAATTCCCTGAGGTAAAAATTCAGTGTTTTCTGCTTTGGGTCCAGTAGGGGTCTGATTGATGGAAATTTCATTTCTGGTAAGAGTAACAACACCAGTCTGGTGAGAGCTGAATTCAATGGGTTCACCATCTTCCGCATCAAACACTACAGTAATACATTCTTCGGAAGAAGTTCTTTTCACAACCCTTTGCTGCTTAATGAAACCAAATGTCTTTGGCCTATTCTCTAAGTGGATGGGAGCTTGCTTTTCCTCCTCATTGGGAGACCCAAGTTGAGATTTGCCAAATTCCACAAGGACACCCAGGTTCTCCATGGACTTGTCAGTGTCAGCAGTCAGTGACAAGTCTGAAGGGCTTTTCTCATCACTGCTCTCTATGTGCAACTCGTCAAGCGTTTCATTGTCATCAGTATCTGAAAGAGGGAGACTGACAGCCATGCAGCCCTGGCTGTGTGGGCCCCTCTCTCTCTGCCTCTGAGGAGTCTGCATACTTGGGTACACTTTCCTCTCCAAGGGACAGTTGCTGACACAACGGGTCAGCTTTTCAGGCCTTTCCCTGGGGTAAATTGAGGAGGTGTCTTCTAAAAAGTGTTTCCCATTCAGCTCCAGGCCAATTAGACTGTCAGAAACACTGTGGGTTAATTTACAAGCGTGCAGCCTGCAGCCCTGGTTGGATACTGCTTGAAGCCAAGCTAGGGAGGAAGAGTCTTCGTCAGCATCATCATGGGAATCTGTGTCATAAACAAATGCCTTGTGTGGCTCCTTGTAGGGGCTCCCCAGCTCAGTTGGTTTGCTGGGTACATAGTCCTTGAGGCTACTGCTCTTAATTCCTGGAGAATATATTCCTTCATTTGAGTTCATGCAATCTTTATAACCCCATTTGGTTATCACGGATGGGGGTTCAAGGAACACTTTTCGCTTTTGTAGCTTTCGTAGTCCTTCCAAAATGTGACTTTCCTTGATACGAGTTGGAGGTAGTTCATCTGTAGGACTCGCAAAGCCACTTGGGAGTGAAGAGTCAATACTTAGCCTTTTATCCCAGTTTTGTGATGACTGCTAGGAAAGAAAAGTAGATGTAAGAAAAGATTGGATCACATGAATCACAGATACATGAAAGCAAAAGTTTCTCATTGGACTTAATTTGTTTTGGCAGTTAAATATTAAACAATAAATGCAGGTATTAACTAGTGCAGGTTAATTTATTAACTAGGTAGCAAATCTCGACTTTGCCAGGTCCTAAACTAAGAAGCACAAGGCAGAAGACCCCTGTCTTCAAGGAATATAAAACTCAGCAAGGGAGAGTAAGTCAAGAGGGAAATGATAAGCATAGATACAGGTACTTTAGAAATTCAGAAAAAAAACTGTTTGGAAATTTTTTTTAAAAAAAACACAAAAATATCAAATCCACGTCATTTTGAATGATGGGTACTTTTGCCTTAATTTAAAGATGGGGGAAATGATTTGTAGGTAGAAGGAACATGACAGCAAAGACCTAAATTGGTAAGCTATGTTCCAGATACACAGAGGCAATAATCAGAAGATACTAGGACCCCACCGTACAGCGTAGATGAGAGGTAGAAGGTAAATACTGATAGAAAAGTAAATTGATTCCAGTCTTTGTTTCCTTCCTTTCTAACATTTGACAGTACTGTGACTTCATGTCCTTAATTGTTAGGCAGTATATTTATGTGAGATGTATACATGCCTATAGTAGCTAGGCATTTGCTAATAGAAACCACAGTAATGATTCACCTAACTTAGGAAAGTCAATTTCCATCCTTTATATCCCCTCAAATACTAATATTAGTATTAGTTTTGGACAAGTGACCAAGAAGACCAAAAAATGACATAGAAGAGACAATGCATTCGACATAGACATTCATATGTTTCATAGTATCAGTGACAAGAAACAGAAGGACAGATGGAAGGACAGATGGAAGGAACTAATGTTGACTAAGCATCTGTTATATACTGGCCACTTACATAGAACTATGATTTAATTTTCATAGCACCGTGGGGGAAACATTATCAGCCCAACTTTACTAGGCAGGACTGGCAATATGTTAGAGATCACACAGTTGAAGAACTGGAGAAAGGCGCTGAACTCTGTTTTTTTGAGTTCTGGCTTTTATGAATGGCTTTGTGGGAATTTGAATCCAGACTGTCTGGCTCTAAGTCAGACGTGATCTCCGTCATAGGTTTTCCCCACACCTCTACCTCTCTTGCAGAGTTTCATCACAAATGAACACTCAGAAATTTGTGGGATGTGAGTGCTGTATGACTAATGGTGAAGATCTTCAGTGAATGAATATGATGGTTTCAGATGTGTACTTTCTATCAATCTGGGCAGTTTCCACTGGCACCTCCATGCCAGCTTCCTCCCACCCCCAACCCCGCATCCCATAACTCTGTGTCCATCACCATGTGCTTATATGCTGAGGTGGAAAAGTGTCAGAAAATCCCCTTAGCATCGTCACATTTTAATAAGCCATGGATGTTTGCTTACATCTAAGATAGTTCCATAAAAATTACTCTCGCTTGTTTAATTTTTGTTCTTTGTTGGGGTTAGAAGTTGCTTCAGACAGATACTACTTGGTTTTGCTTCCCCTCCTCCCTCAGTACCATTAAAAAGCCCTTCAGAAATCAGAAGAAATTCCATTAATGAGTGTGAGTATTATATGTCGACCATGAGTGGGTTGCCACAGTTTGGTTCTATAAAATTTCCATGACCCCAATGGCCACAATCACAATAAAGAAGAGAAGCCAGCAAAAGTGTCCCACAAGAGTAGGAAAAACTCAAATTTGTTCAGCCCACAGAAGCTATGCTCAATGTTGCCCACCCACCACCTTTGCACCTTCTGAGAACCTGCCCATACTGTGGTGTGATCCATCCCAGAGCCTGCAGTTAAAATCTTCCCAGGACCCAGAATCTCTGTCCAGTGACATGAGCCACATTCCTTAATCAGTTCAACAGGATGCTATGGCATTTAATAATTTATGTAAAGTTTAGAACAATCTTGAAAGTTGAAAAAAGAAAAACAAACAAACATGAATTCCTTGTGGGAGAGACATGGGGAAGTACTGGCATTTCACATAGGTAGCTTCCTCCTTTGCTGGGAAGAGTTGGTGGGGAGCAGTGTGGCTGACTAAAAGATGCTGTTGATAAGGTAGGGGCCTGGGTTTAATGTCCATGGTCCTTTTCTGTTTCTTGACTGGACAAGAATTTTACACAATTGTTTTAAATGAAATTTTTGCTCTTAATGGGAACTTATCCATTCTAACAACTGGAGCCCCTCCAAATTTTAGGCTGATTCAAAAAGGTTGGTATAGCTGAAAAGTTATGAGTGAAAGTTCTGGAGCTAACTGCTCAGCTCTGTCACATAGTGATCATGAGACCTTGGGCTTGTTACTTAATTTCTCGGTACCTCAGGTCCCTCAGCTGTAAAACAAGGGAATAGGAAAATCTATCTAATAGGCTATCATGAGCATTAAATGGATGGACTAACACTTAAGAAGTGCTAACAATGCTGTGCAGCACAGGGAAATTATTCCCTAGTCAGATTTTTCCCTTTAGGGCAGGGTAATGCACTTTAGGCAGGTTCTCCTTTTGTATCCATACATAACAATTAAAAAAAAAAAACTGAAATACTAAAGAATCACTGGATATAGTTGAATTATAGTCACATTCAAATTGATATCATATGAGCTTGTTATGTAAGTTAGTACTCAACACGTACTTGTTACATGACAAAAACTGTAAAAGTTCCTTAAATAATACAAATTTATAATGTCTTTCCAGGACTGGGTGTAGCTTGCTTGGTCTCTAAGAACTGGGAATTTTCTCTGTGAGATGTGAGGGGTGTGCCCCATGACCATGCTAAGCCAATACCTGTTAAATCTCCAGATGACTGCCACCTAAGTGGATCTGGAGTGTTTTAAGAATCTTATCTCCCCTCTTTTAGGAAAGAAGTCCAAGGATTATTCTAATTAGAAGAATTTCAGCTAAAAAAGAAGAAAGAAAAAAAAAAAAAAGCAAGAGACTCTGAGAGGGAAAAAGGTGAAGAGTTAAGAGTGAAAATGGCTGAGCCAGGGGCATTCTAAGACAAAGAGAGGGGACATCCCTGACCATCTTCCCTGTTAAGAGCCAGCTCCCTAATGGTCATTATTAAAACTAAAATCTCCTTAAAAAAAGGAACAATTTTGATAATGCACCAATCTCTATACCTTGCATTAGGAGTCTGAATCAAGGGAATATGTTTTAAATTCAAGCTTGAAATCTTTTTCTGAGTTCTGATTCAGGGTATTACAAAGGCACACCCTCACCAATATTTTCTGGTAGTTTTATACTTTTCCTGGTTTTCATATTTCCAGCATCATAAATTAATGATACAAATGAATGATTATGGGTTTCCATTTTTGTGTACTCTTTGCTTCTCTTCAACAACAGGAAACTGTAAAGACAGGTATTCCAAATATTTGGCTTAGATAAGTGTGCAAAGATGCTTGCTCAAATCAGGAGGGAGCTACAGTTGTGAGTCCACTTTGCAGGACAGAGTAATTCTAGTACTAAAACACCTGGTAATGGAGCTCCTGGCATATAAGTAGGGATATGCTTACCTGCACCTAAGCTGTGGTGCCTGCCGTCACTATAGTGTTTTCTCCCTGTACTATACTATTCTCCAATATAGAGTCAATTAGTTTTTATTGGGTTATAGCTTTGATTAGAGGAGATCAATTTGATATATGTTATTTCTGAGAAGTCAATTCCTACAAAGCTAATGATACCTCTAAATTTTTGGCCATTTATTCTGAGATAACACACTCCTTTTTTTGTCTAGAAAAAAGCTTTTCCTGGAGTTTTCTTGGGATGCTCAGTCTGGAACAGCTTGGCACAAGGCCTTGCTCACTTTCATTTGTAGGGTGCATTCACAAGTCTCCCTGAGCATCACAGCGACAGAGGATGTCCATAACACTAATTGGAAATGTCTGACTTGGTGTGAACACGGTCAGTTCTATTAGACTGGGGCTCCAGGATACAGTTTGGTATCAATCTGGGAAGTTGGTAGGGATTTTCTAAAGTACAGAAGGGAAATGTCTTCTTTTTCCAGGCAATCTCCCCTGATGTTTAAGTCATGTATATCAACACATCATTCCTCTCCTCACTTGCTGGGGTGACTTCTAACTAGTAACCTTTTTGAGCTGGTTTCCTCTATTAAATACTGAGAGAATAACATCTCCTGAGCTAGTTTTTGTTAGACTATAGAAGCAGGAATTCAGTAAGTGGTCATCTCCTTACTAATGTTCCCTCTCACCTTCTACCTTCCTACCAGAAAGGATGATTTTCTGGCTCACTCTGATGCTGAAATGCCTTGAGAGGAGGCCTTACCCTTTTTATGAGGTTCTTCCCATCATGCCACGTGTAGGAGGAGCCACTGGAGTACTCGCTGCAGGTGCTTGAAAGAGACAGTTCACTGCTGCTGCAGCTATTTCGAGGATAGAGATGACCAGGAATGACAACCCCAAAGCCAGGGCATTTCAAAGCAGGGGCTCCTGATTTGGCATTCAGCTGGCATTCCTGAAAAGGCAGGACAGCTCTGAGCTAGGACTTTGCTTAGGGGAGAGTAAATACCAACTCAACCTCATAGTGAGGTAGGGAATGCTGTACAGTGATTAGAAGCACAGACATTGGATTCAGACAGGGTTCAAATCTTTGTGCTACCTTTTACTAACTAACTAAGGGATATTATTTAAATTATGAGGCTACATTTTCCATTTTAAAAGGGAATTGTGATAATACTGCCTACCTACAGGTGACTACAAGGGTCCAGTGAGCTTCTGGGTACAATGCATATGGCCCAGTAGCTGGCTACATAATTGCTTAGTTATTACAAGCTACCTTCATCGTTAAGCAGAATTATCAGTATTACCATGGGAATTTCTCATTTTACCCAGTTTAGCTGCTTAAAGAATCAGATCAACATCAATATGACTGTAAAGCTACAAATGGATGAAGATAGAGTAGCATCTTTGAATGTAAGAACATGAACATGGGACTGAGAATCTGGTGACCTGTATCTCTGGTTACACCTGGCACTGAATCTGAGATCTTGAGCCAAGGAAGCATTTAACTGCCATGGACTTTAATGGTCTCATCTGTAGAGTGGGGCAGCTCTACCACATCACTCCTCTGGTGAACCCCTACAGGGTTCTGACAGCATCATTCTAAGTCAGAAATCAAATATCTGGGAAGCCATGTACAGCAGAACACTATTTAGGAACCATGAGGCTCTGCTGTCAAAGAAAACAGGACTTTTCTTATTAGCTGGCTGTCCAAACCAGAAAGACTCTCAAATCAGATAGGTCAGGGTCCCACATGGAAGACTCAGGCACTTAGAATTCTAATGAGTCTGTGAAAGGCATGTGAGAAAGTTACAAGCATTCCTGCACATCTCGACAGCTACATCATAGGCCCTAAAATAACAGGTGAAGCTCCACAAACTGGACAGGGTAAATTAATTTAGCACCCCAACCACTAGATTGCAATCTCTCCATTACCATCTCCGGCTAGTCTCCTATCTCTAGAAAGCTCTGCCTCAGAAACCCTTTGATGTGGACCCATCTGTCTTTATGTCATTTGCAGAATGGCACAGCCTCTTACTTATGCAATTCATTGACACTTTAAGGTGCTGTTAGTACCTGAGTACTTATCACTGTTCTCCAAATGCAATTCCAGCTGATGGTGACTAAACACCAGCTTGAGGAAGGAAGATAATGCTATTCTGGGAGTACTTGTGGTAAATGCTAGGCCTATGTATGGACTGAGACCTGTTTAATTTGCTTTCTAATCAATATCCATAATGCTTACTAATGTTAGTTTCAGTATCAGGCAACTGCCTTGCTATAGATAGCTCAATTTCTGCAGCATAAGAGTGATCTAGAAATGCCAAGAATTTTTACTACACTATTTCCTCCATGTCCCCCTGAAATTTGGTGTCAATATCATGAAGGGAAAAACTGTCTTAAAATCCAGCTTTCCACAATATTCATTGATTTGTGACCTTGTTTATTGCCTGAGTTTAGGGCACTTCATATTTGTCTCTGAACAGCTGCCTACAAGCACTGATCCTGTCGCCCAGGGCACCTGGCATTTGTGCTCGTCGTACACGTCTGCACTGTGCCTTGAACAAATGTTAAACATCACAGGAAGCTCTACTTCTACTTGTATGCTTTCCATGTCCTCCACCCCATTCTCTCATATTTTGTTGCTTGAGTAAGCAGAGGGGTAGTCTTTATTTAGGATGATTTCTGCTCTGACAGATATGTTTACTCTCCAGAGACAAGCTTGTCTGTGTCCTGAGAGATCATCCAGGCCTAAACTTCTCCAGTGATCCCTTTACACTGCACAGCTTTTGGTTAGGGCTTATATTCTGACTTTCCCAAGATACTGAAGTTTATACATGAGTTCTGTCTTTTGCACTCATCCCTTTCCACGACACCTATCAAAACTACACCTATTTTTATGACTCAGTTCATTTCCCAGGCCTATTTTAATAAATAAGCACACTCGTCCAGTTGCCACCCATGTATACAGATGTTGGAGTCAAATGATTGGAAACTAGAATAGGAAGATGAACAGGAGGAGGAAGAAACTGCTGTCACTCCCCTATCCTTGAACTTGACTTGCCCAGCTGTGATGAGGGACACAGCATACCAGGATGCTGGGGAAGGCTCATCACTGTCATTGGAAGCATGTGGGTGTGGGGATAGTTAAGCAGAGAAACTTCTCTAGTACAGGTTTTCACACTTTAATGTACATGTGAATCACTGGGATCTTGTCAAATGCAGTCTCTGATTTAGTAATTATAAGGTGGGACCTAAGATGCAGTCTTCTTAACAAATTCAGGGAGTTTGCTAAACGCTGGTGCAGGTACTGTGCTTTGCATAGGAAGGCTGTTGGAGAAGCTGTGAGAGAAGCTAACCTCTTGTGTGGGTGACCTGGTGATTGTTGTACCATCTGACAGTCTGATCTGGGTAGTGCAGAGCAGGATGAAGGGAATGGTGAGCCAACCCTTCCTACTGGGAAATTCTCCTCCCTCTCCTCCACCTTGGATGATTAATGTTTGATTTTAATTAGGGAACCAGAATCTCTGATACCCCCTTTTCCTGGAGTTCCCTTCATCAGCACATGGTTATCATGTAGGATTATCTATGCCCGTGAATCTACCTAAGTTTTGTGGTTGAACACTTAATCTCCAAGGTCATTTATTATCTTTGAATCCTGGATGTTTCAGTTACAAACTCTTTGACCTTAGGAAAACTGCCTAACTCCTCCATGCCTCAGTTTCTTTGTAAGTAGAAATAATGAAAGCACCTACCATATAAGATCATTGTGAAGATAGGGCAGCCTCTATCTATTATTATTATTGAAATGTTGCTATTATTGAAAATGTTTTTTATGTACATTTGTCTTAATGTTTCAACTAAATCCTAAGTTTCCACTTTCCCAAAGGGCCTGGGTATTATACTTCTTGACAGTCTGTTAAAAATGGCTGGAGGCTTACACATTGGGACTGCACAGAGCAAAAGCCAAGTGGGCACATTTTGTTTCTGGCGATTATTACTGTGAGTTTTCAGAGTGACATACCAGAAGATAGCCCTTTCAGTTATCATTCTAGCCAAGAGATGTTCTCAAAAGTTGTTTCTTGACACCAAAAGAGTACATGGTCTTGGCCTTCTGGGTAGATACCTAGGATCATGAAGTGTCTTTTCTCATTGGACTCCTTAAACATTCTTTGCCATGCTTTTCTGTGGTTGTGGTCTGCTGCTACATAGTTAAGAAGACAGCTAAAGCAACAGAGTTCTTCATATTGCCCTAATATTGTTAGTGGATAATGTGTTACCCACATTTCATTTATAATCTCATTTAATTCTCAGAAATAGAAAAGTAACAGCATTATACTCATTTTTCAGATGGAGAAATTGAGGCATGAAAATGTCTCTTTCTTGCCTATGGTGTTCTGCCAACACGGCATTCTGATACCCAGCTCAGGTCCTGTCACTGTGGCCCCAAATGAGGCTTCTGATAATGTCCTAAGAACTCGGGGACATTTAAAGAGCACCTAGGATACTACTGAGAAGAACTGTAATTAGTAATAGATAATGATTATTATTAAAAGCCTTCTTTGCCAAAAATTGTATTTTGGCTTTCATTGCAATTAATTATGTTGACTCAATGAGAAAAATACATTTTGGATAGGGCAAAGAAGGATTATTAATGTGAGTTCCCTGTTTGCACTATCCAAAATGTATTTTTCTCATTGTATGGTTTAGATTGCCACCTGGAATGACATCTGCTTTAACATCCTTACTGTGAGCTATCCAATTCAAAAATCCGTAAGTTTATTTAAAAAAAAAATACAGTGATAGAGAATGAAGGCAAACTTTCTTGGATAAAAACTTCACATGTGAAAAAATTCCTGACCTTCAGGCCATATTATACATTGGCTGCCACTAAGGTTGTTATGAACATCTAAAGTGCCAGCATTCCCACTAAAATTGAATTCCAATCTAACTTTATAGTATTTACCTTTGATATAGACTATTCTATCTACCCTGATACAATTATACAGTAAAATAAAAAGCTAGTTTATCCACAGATGTTCATCTGTCATTGTTTTAAGCTTAACAGTTCTTTCATATATTTATTTAGCTCCTGTGTTTTTGAAGTAACTCTTTTTATGTCAATGAAATTTAAAAGCCATGTTGGTAAAAGTTTTGCCAAATAAGCACAAAGCTCACCCAAGCTAAAGGAAAAAATGCACAGCCCATGAATTTTTAAAAGTTCATACATAATATATCATAAAAGTAGGATGAATAATATGGGACATGGGCTTTAATAAAAAGCTCCTTGACCATTTCTCAGGGACTTTGAGATGTAATCAATACCCAAAAATGTATCTTGGGGACAAAGTCAAGATTTATGATATTTTTGCCGAGAGTGACACTTTTTGCTTACTTTATCAGCTGGGGGACATGATATTGAATTTCAGGAAACACAAGAAAGGGAAGTATTTTTATCTGCCTGACAATGCTTCAAGGATGCACTTTATGGTTCACTTGTGACATCATATTTGATGGAAGGAAAATAACAACTTAAACAAGTGTTCTGAAGGCAACAGGAAAACTCACGTGCATCTCAACATCAGTTTGTGGCTGCGTGAGACTTCGACTTCTTTCCGCTTCTGAAAGCAAATCTCCGGATGAAATATCTAAGATTCGGGAGTGAAGTTTCTAGGTAAAAATAAGTAGAAACACTGAATAATAATGATTTAATTGTTTCAAAATCCTGACTTGGATAACTAAATGTCAAAAGAGTTGATATTTCTAGATTAGATAATACACACCATATGAGAAAGTTTATTCTAATTTAACAAAATCCCATAAATATGTGTGCAAACTAGTTTAAAAGCAATTATCACACTTCTATAATCTTTCAGCCTGTGTTTGAAATTAAGAAATACTAAACAGTAAATACTAGAAAAATTGTGAATATATCAGTATGACTATTGGCTAGTATTAAAAGTAACTTTTGATATTCACATTAAAGATCAATCACCATGTTAGCCTTATAATGCTGAACAGTGGTTAAAATCTGAGTGAATAATTATAAAAGTGATGACCTTATTTTTAAACAGCACTGATCTTGTGAAACCTTCCCTTGGACACACTTTAACTCAAAGTCATTAATGTCATCTGTTAGGAACAATTAATGTGAATAGGAAATAATTGCATCAGGGACCTGGGGACTTAGAGGATTTTGTGCATTAATATTCACATGCTATTAGATTATATACTCAGTTCTTCAGTTTTGCTTGGGAGACCTGATGAACCAGGGGCATTTCACTATATTAATCTTTATACTAATTACTAAGGCTTTTCTGTGAACATTAAATTTGATCTGTTTAATTGCAGATACAATAAAGCCTGCGATTTATGTCAAGTGTTTCGGCTATACTGATGACATTTAAAAATGGTACTTGTAGCTTGGTTTGTCTTGGGTACAACTTTTTTGACTTCAGACACTGAAAAATCAAATCAAGTAAGTAAATAATGAGGCTAAACATTCCTCTCACCTCTGAAAACTTTTTCTGTTACTGTCCCTCCTGGAAGGCCTTGCTGCATACTAATGTTGATCTGGAAATATCTGATATTGTCTCCCACTAATTAATGTTAGGATCATCTTCTCGTGTAGGGGTAGCCTCACAGTTACTATATCCCACCTCTGCCAGCAGGGATTGCAAACTGCGATGAAATGAGTCACATTCACTCTGATCCCTATTTGACTTCCTTAAACTTGGGAGAGAACTCCTTGTACTCAGTTGGTCACTCAACAAACACCTATTCAGTATCATTTTAAGGGTGAGAACTGAAGCAGGTCTGTGGCCACCCTTCCGCAGGAGTGAAGGTTTGCTTCTGTTTTGGATCAATTCTCCTCCTCAGTGGTGGAATTTCAAATAACTATTTGTCTCAAACTTATACTTTTGCTTCTCTTGATTCATGTTTGTGGGGACACTTTCACAAGAAGGGGAATGAATCCTAAACTAGCTGACTGTTATTCTTAAAATTTTAATTTCTCCAAATAAATCAAGACAACAATAGTAGCTAGAACCCAGATGTTGTTTCTGTGCAATTTTTATAATCCTTCCCTTTTCAAACAGAGTTTCCTGATGGTAAAGATCATTTAATCCCCAGGACATGTACCCAATTGATGTTGGTTGTAGCCTATAAAGATATCTTTATGTTTTTCCCAACCATATATAGGTTTTAGAGATTGAGAGAGTGCCAAAAGAATTAGAACATTCTGAGAACTAAGAATGCATTTATCAATATGCAAGCAGTCTAAGGAGCTGTGGGAAATGACATTCAACAAAAGAAATGATGATTTTGAGTGGTATGTCATGTGATTTTGGAGAAGAGTTCTTATAAATCAGAGATCTGATTTATTATTACATGGTTCATGGTTACACTTCACTCCTTATCAGCCTCCTATTTTCTGCTTACGTGGGTGTATGTAAAAGTAATTCTTTTAAATGATGTTATATTTTAGTGATTTTTTTTTTTTTTTTTTTTTTTTTTGTGTGGGACCCTCGCCGGCGGCCTGGGAATGAACCGGCACTGCAGAGGCTGTGGGCACCAGGGGAGGCCCAATTTTAGTGATTTTTTTACCCCAGTGGTCAGTTACCGCCAATGAAATTAGTAAGGTTGTGTGGGAGAGTGTTCAGGTCCTACGTTAAAGAGGTCTGAATTCCAGCCCTCACTAAGGTACAGGTTGTACCAACTCTTGGGGAATATAATTGAACTTCTAGGCCTTAGATTCATCATTTGTTACTAAGGGACAGAGGTGGCTACTTAGCCTACTTTACAGAGAGAGAGATATTGCTAGTCATAAAGGTCAATAAATAAGATAATAAGCTAAAATTCCAGCAAATGGAATTAACTGTCTTAACTGAGAGTTGGTGGAAGGAAATTTCTTAAATGCTAAGGTACAAATGAGCCATTTCTTATTACGGTTTCCACACACGTAAGGCAGGTAAAAATTAACTTGGAGGAAAGTAAGATCTACTGTGGTAGGTCGTGGGCAAGAAAATGGTAAGTAAATCATCCTTCTGCACAATTTCCCTTAAATAACCTCAAAAGTTTGAGAGTCCAGAGATGTTACACTTTTTATAAGAATTTTTATGAAAGGTTTATATTTTCACATTAATATGTATGTATTTAATATTAAACATATTTTGGAGAGAAATAAAATGAAAATCACTTTTCAAACTGTTATCTTGCCTATCTGTCATTTGTGTTTAATTCAGATTAAAGAAAAAAGGGTAGGTAGAATGTATACATGGAAAATTCAATTCGGTCCTTGTGAGCAAGGTCTAACTGACAGGAGAATACCACGGCCTCTTAAAAGGCCACTTGTTTAGTTAAAGGGGGATTCACTATCACATACCCATCCACAGTTCCTGTTTAATGTTAGTGTCCACCTGGATGAACTATCTCACCTGAAATACTTGTGACTTGAAATCTATAATCTGAAAATTCAGATGATACCTGGATTTATCTATATTCTTTTATGATTTAGACATGAGAAGTAGCAAGATCATTCAGTACAGGTTTGAAATGGACCTCATATCCTCTCTTACATTATATCAGTAGCTGAGATGCTACATGGCATAGAAATTGACTGTTACCTCACAGTTCTCCTACTCAGAGGTCAGTGAGAACTTTTCACTGAAATGCTTGAAGGTAATATCTTTCTTCTGCCAGACTGGGTTCATTGTCTCTGGAATGGGTTCTTCTGGATTCTGAGCTGATGCTTTTGTCTTTTTCTCCACAGCATACTCTCTTTACTCTTGTACACCTATCTAGAACTTCCCCACTATTCAGAACTGCACTAAATCCTGTCTGTAAGCTTGTCATCTCTAGCCCACAGTGAATGCCCTGCCCAGCCAGATTGTATCACTCCCCATTTTGGCCCTCTCTCTGAAGTACACATGACTGAATTGCTCTTGTGTGTAGGGTCTGTTTTCCTAACAGAATGATCAGCTCTATGAGAATGTAAGAAGTGGCCTTATGTTTCTGCTCTGTCCCTGCGGCAAGCACAGTCTAAGTATCACTGGACCTGTTCTCTTTTCTTTCTGGGCACACAGCTGACTGTATTTCCTGGCTTCCTTTAAAGTTAAGTGAAGTCATGTGACATGGTGGCTTTCACCCTGTGGAATATGAGTGCAGGTGACATCTGTCCAGGCCCAGGACTACCTCCCCCATGAGGTGCTCCAAGCTCTTTCCCCTTTTGCCAGTTTGGCGCAGTCCACTCAGCACCGAAATCTCAGAGGCCATGTGTGAAAAATGGAGCCACAAAGTGGAAGAAGTTGGGTTCCTGAACTGGCAGCTGGAGGAGAGCCACTGTGGAACCAGAGATACTTCTTTTGGACTTTCCACAAGAAAGAAATAAACTTACACTGGACTTGAGCTGTCATTCCAGGGGTTGGTTTGTTTTCATGACTAACATTAATCTGATGGATATTGTCCCCATCCCACAAGACTGTACTCTGTAACATGCAGGACTGTACTCTGTAACATACACACACACATTATCTATATCTACACACACACACATACTCATTATCTATATATGCACACATACATACACACATGCATATATAATGGTTATGTCAGCAGACCTAGGTGACTTTCCAAACTGAGGATTTTTAGCTTCTTAGGGTAGAGGCCTATCTTCTGTTACCATTCAGGAGCAGGTCTGGGCAGTTCTGCATGATGAGCTGAAGTAAATAACAATCCACAAGACTATACCATATACCAGTATAAAATGCCAGGCTCAGCTATGGAGACCTGGTAATGTCACAGCAACTGAAGCACACACTGGTCAGTAATACTTCCTAGATGGTCCTGCCCTCACAGCCAGCTCTGTGTTCTCTGCATGGTTCTGTATCCATAATTTAGAGCAGAGAAACATCCTCCTGGACAGACCATCAAAGATTGTCTATTCTTGTCAGGGTGGGGAGTAAAGGTGGAGTGGCTCATTCAGAGGAGCAGTAACTAGTTTGGCAGCTCTGAAGCTAACATTGCAGTAAGACCAGAGACCAGGTGTGATGGGCCCTTCAGAGCTGGACCAGCAGGATGATTTTACATTCTGTTTCTCTCTTCACTCACAGAACAGCAGGTTGTCTAATGTCCAGTGAAGACTTGTTGCATTTAGCAGAATACTGCCTCTGGGTTTTGCTCAGTACCACACTGTTATCTTAATTTTAAGGTAGTGATTGCAGAGGCCAGGAAGACACATGGTAAGGTGACAAAGCAGATCTTTATCTGAGTAATTTGGGTAGCATGGAAAAACATGCTGGGAAAATCAAGTAAAATGGCATGAAGAGAAGTTTTTGCATGTACTGATGTGATGTTCCTTCCAAACTTTGAAATGGCAAGTGTGAATTTTTTGGTCAGGATTTCAGAAGTTATTAAGCTTATTAAACTTTACATCAGCTTAAGATGCAAAGAAGAAAATACAAGCGAGATTGTTTAACCATCACTCCCTTTTCTTCATTCAGATTTGGCAAAAGAATTAATCTAATACCATAATCATGTATCTCATTATTCTTCCCTCTATTAAAAGTGAAATATCTGAATAAAAGAGAAGTTATGAGAGTGGCTATGACATATATCTGATTAATGAACTCTCCCTAACACGAGTAATTTAGGTTGAACAACAGAAGGTGGAT